AGAAAGACATTTCCTGGTTTTCATAATTGTATGGTGTACATCCTTCCATAAAAAAATATTTTTTAACTTTAGCATCATGGGAAAAAGTGTCATAGACTTTAAGCCATTAATTGAAGAGATTACTCTCAAAATTGTAAAGTTTCTAAATGAGCTTAGACTTACACATAATATTAATAGTATCAAGATTTGTGAGCCCTAACTGATCACAATGTTTAGGTTTTGTAGCGTTATGCCAAGCTATGGTGTGAAGCTTACTATTGGAAGCTCAATGAGAAGGAATTTATTTATTTAGGAAGTAAATTTCTTCATTTTACCTTTAGTGATGGAGGAAGATCTGAACTAATAATACAAATAACTACATATATTGCATCTAATCAGTTGAAGTCTATTAATAATAAGATATCAGCTTTTGCTTCTAGTCTTTTAAGCTTTGTCGAACACTCTCAAGAATAATATGATAATAGTAGGAAATAATTTTTGAAGAGTTGATTGTGATACTTACGTGCTTCAAGAGGAGAGGCTACCATTGAAAGTCAAGAGATGCACTAAATGATGTATGCATTATTCAGAGACAACCTTAAAGAAGCATATAGAGACTTAGTAGGGTTTCTTTGGAGGTTAGAGGTAGTTTGAAAAACTATAATGGTTTGAAGAAAGTATTTATAGATAGAAGGTAAGCTTTACCAAAATAATAATATCATCTGCATAAATAAGATAATTCATATCATAAGAAGGAAAATCATGCTAACGAGAGTTATGTTGATGATCCAATTCAATAAAATGCATTCATGCCAATGATAAACAAATAGGGGGTATATGGGACAACCCTGACTTAAACTCAAAGAGCCAGTGAAGTAGCCATGAACCTCATTACTGATAATTATAGAAAAGTGGACTTGACCATTGCAAGCTCTAAGCCATCTATAAAACTTTTCTAGAAAGCTCATATTTTCTATCCTGTCATAGAGAATGTTTCTTTTAATATTATCTATTGGCATCACTTTTTAATGTCACATGTGTGGGATGTCCACTTGAATGACCTGATATTATATTTCATGCGTACATAGTTTCCCATAGCTCAAGTCATCCATTTGAGACTCTTTGGCATGCTTCAAATACAAAATTAGGGTTTGTCTTGATGTAGCCAGATTTGGAGGTTCTTACTATCAATTGTCATTCATTTTTCACATGTGACATGTTTAATACCCATTTTAAGTTGAGGATAATATTTCATCCATTTGTGGCCTTCCAAGGTCCAAGAGATTTATATGATGCCTTCCTATGAACGAAAAAGGGTGCAACAGTGCACGAGTCTGCTTGCATGCATACACGCAGACCTATGCTCATCCAAACACAAAAATTTGCTTTTAACCAAATTTTGGACGCACCAATCAATTTCTTCCTTTAAATTGATGTTTGGTCCTTTAAAATCGAGGATTTACATGTAAAACAAAAGAATGAGCTGATTTTACATGGTTCTTAGCTTAGAAATGAAAAAATGTGAAAAGACCATGTGTTTCTTTGGTGAGCCCTTGCCCAAAAATGGCAAATGGGGCTTCTTTAGCCCAAAAAATATGGAAACTCCCTCATATGCAAGGGGATCCAAAAATTTTTGCTTCGGAAGAGTGCTTGGAGCTTGGGAGGTCTTCTTCGTCTCCCCTTTTTTTTTCCTTTTTGTTCTCTCTTCTTCCTCTCCATATTTACTCCATTATTTTATTAAGGGGAGAGTGAAGAAGCCTTTGGAGGAGCTTCTTAAAGGGAGGCTTCATTTCTCCTTTGGAAAAGGAGAGCTTCTTTCTTGCTTGGAGAATAGGTGAAGCTAACTTCGTCGCTGCAAAGTTGGAGCTCATATCAAGCAAAGATAACACAATTTCAATCATCACGAAGGTGATAAACCCATAAAAAATTAATTTTCTTCATTAGCTACTTAGGTTTGTGTTAGATATTTGAGCTTGGGTTTTTTGTGTTTGAGAAAAGCTCTCAAGGTCAAGTTTTCTTTTCTTTGGTTTCCCCATACGGATCTATGAGCGTTCCCCCTTAACCCTAGCTCCAAAAATCCAATGATAGCTGGAATTGTAGTAATCTCACGATTTTTTTTTATGCTTCACCCTTTTGATGGAATGGGTGAAGCTCTCTAAACCTAGAGAATGAAGAATTTCATTCCTTCATTCCTTAGGTTATGAAAAACCTTCTAAGGAAAAGCCTTCATTTCATGAAGATTTTTCTCCAAACAAAGGGGCTTTCGTGGTTTAGTCAAGCGATTGGAGGTGGGCTTCTTATTGCTTTGCATGATAAGAGGCCAGTACACCTCCCCATCACTTGCCCTAGAACCAATGCGAGATTAGCAAGGGCGTTTTGACTTGCCATCAAAATGTGAATTGGATATGTCTTCATCTTTGCATGTGATCATTTTTTTTAATTTGCATAAGAAAATGATTTTTTTTTTCATACTTTTCAAACCAGTCATTAGTTTTGTTTTGTCACTGCAGACCGGCTTGACCGCCTGCCCAGTAAGATTCTGTCAAAACATCTGTCTCTTGTTCAATAGATTGATCGGTCGGTTCAGCTACCTACCTTATGCCGGTGCGACCGGATGTCTGATATCTTTCGATCTGATCGGGCATCCCTCATCAAATGGCTTGATCGGTTGGCTGATGTTGATCGGCTCAGTCGCCTCTCATAGGCCGGTGTGACTAGCCACTCAGTATCATTTGGTCCAATCAGTTGTCCCTCATCAGATGACTTGATCAGTCGGTTTGGCCACCTACCTTAGGCTAGTGAGACCGACCGCATGATATTATTCAGTGTGATCAATTATCCCTCGTTGAATGGCTTGATTGGTCGATCGATGTCGGTCTGCTCGATCGCTTACCTTAGGCCGGTGAGACCAACCACCCATTGGTTTGATTGCCTTTGTCAGTGGGGAGGTTTTCTTTGTTAAGGTCAAAAGGTTAGGGAGGATACCTAGAGAACTTGGTGGTGTCTCATACCTCTCTGGTTAGGGCTATTTATAACCATGGAAGCTCGTGGGGTGAGCTTGGTTTTTGTGGGGAAGCTCAGGCGGCTCCTTAGAGCATTTGCAGAGGAATTTTAGGAGTTTTGAGCAGTGGGGAAAAGCTTTTCAAATTTTTCATGTATTTTACATGGTGGTGCCAACATGAGTGAATGTAGCATGGAGAAGGGCTTAGGCTGATTGGGTAGAACTTTTGGTAGGTGGCTAAGACCATATTTATTCTAGTCTTGGCTCACCAAGGGATGCTCAAAAAGGTCATGACCTAGGTGCCAAGTGTGAAGTGGCATGGCTAGTTGTGTCAAATTTTTCTTTTAGTGTTTGGGTTTTAGTCAAAATAATTTAATTTACCCATGTTCCATAATGGGTTGGGTTTATGGCATGATTGACCCATGAAGGACGGGCTATTGGCTTGATTGAGCATGGGGAAGATGGATCATGGGCTTTGGATTTTGGTTTAGGGCTAACTCAATGTGCTTAGGCTTAACCCAAAGGTTTAAGCTCTAATAAACCACTCATAAGTTACCTAATTAAGTAATATGGTGAATTATGGGGTTGCCCCATGGTGCCAATTGAGGTCCCCATGTGGTTTGATGACTTGATCACTTTGGGTGGGGCTGAGTTGTATGACAATGGGGTCAACTAGTCAAGAATTGATCAAAATTGAGTTAGGCCCAATTTGATTTTACCACCCATGGTGTCATCGAGTCTTGGGGTCAAAGGGGTGTGTTGGAATTTCAAGTTGATTTTTAGGGTTAATTGGGGGTTGGGAAGGTATTAGGTGAGTCTAGGGATCAATTTAGGTAGACCCTCCTCCCATTGAGCATTCTAGTGTCATGATGGTTCTTAGGGTTCATAGGGAGGTTTCTAGGGTTTTGGGCTTTCTAAGTAACTCATGACATGGCTTACCCATGATGGTCAGCTTGGGCTCTCATTAGGCCAAAACCCTAAACCAACCCAACCAGGGGTTGGGGGTTAGGGCTTGTCTTGATGAAGCTCAAGGAAACATAACCCTAATCTAGGAGTTGTGATTAGGAGTTGTGTGTAAGTGAGTGGTTGAGTCCTCATAAAATTGAGGTCAACAACGACGTCCGGCAGCGGCCGTCGTGCGGTGGTTAATGGAGGTTGGAGGCTATAGGTGTAGGATGTCAACAATGGTTTTTTTTTTTTTTGTTTTCCATTCCAGATACACAAGAACAGATGACATCAATTCAACATCCCCATTAGGAAGATGAACCGAGGCCATCCACGCTCCCGTGCTTGATTCGATTTATCCATTGCAACAAAGTTGATTTTAATTGATCTTTTTTTAAAATATTCATCTAACCCTAAAGAATACATCTATATGGCTAGCTACGATTGGATTTACAATTATCTTCATAAAAGACCAGACTCGAAGGAAAATTATGTGTTTTAGGCCAATGCCTTTGTTGAAGAGGTGAGGTCTCGATTGAGTTTGATAGAGACAGTCGCCTTGAGTCCACGAAGCTCCCTGAAGTGTTGATTTGAATCTTCCTTGCCTCCTTGTATGAATTTGATCAAAAAGTGGTTCAGCTTGGTGTTGGAAAGAGTTGGAGTCTACAGGAATTGGGAGTTTTGATTAGGGAGATGGTTTTGGACCTCTGTGAAGCTAATAGGAGGATCAATTAGGAATTTTGATGTGGTTGAAGGTGAGACTGTGAAATTTCCCGGTGCAGTCTGATGAAATTAAGGCCTTCTGGTGGTGAGGAAGGCTCGAGGATGATGGGAATGAGTAGGTGATCTCTGTGGGAGAGTTTGGGAGCAAGAGTTTTGAAAATAGTCTAAAAGAATAAAGAGTGTCGATTACTTGAGTAAGTTTCAATTTCAGCCTTTTAATGTCCATGGGAGGGCATATGAAGGCTTGGGATTACCTAGGCTCATTTGGGGATTGTCTGAGGAGGGTCAGGCAGTGGGCTGAGGCAGGGTTTTGGGTTGAGAAAAGCCGGATCCTCTCCTTTTAATTTTTCAGGTAGAGAGGCTCCCCAGGCCGAGAGGCTCGAATGGCCATGGGGTGACATGAAGTATGCTTGAGCTTCATTGAGGACAGCCTGGTTTGGGTTGTTGGGCCTTGTTTTGGTGGGATTTGGTTCCCTTAGGTTGGACTTGCATTTTGGTGGCTAAGGTGTTATGTGAAGGAGTTCTGGATTTTGGCATGACTTTCATTGTCCTTTAGTGCTTGACTTTAGTTTGGTGGGGATTGATTTTACTATATTGTATTTCTTTTTATCTTTTGATAGGTTAATGGGTCATGGGATCATTTTTGAGTCAAATGGGTTAAAGTTAGCTTGGGTGGATTTGGGCCATAGGGTTTGCTTTAGTTTGATGTTTGGCCTTGGGTTTAGACTTAGGGTTTAATTTTGATAATTTTAATGTTTCACTTATGTTAATTTCAAAATTGGTGTTTTAATTGATCTTTCTTATGTTAAGTAATTAATTATTAATTTTAATTTCTTCATATCAATCTAATTTAGTTTTGTTTGATTTGATTGTATAAGTTTTGTTTTATTAAATTTAATTTCAAGTTGGTTCAATTTAATTTCATTTAGTTTGCTCAAATTTTATGATTTTGACTCTTCGTTATGATTTTGATTATTTGGTGTTTTAGTTTAAAACTTTAATGAGGATTAAATTTTAATTTTTATTTCGATGTATTTGATGAATTTATTGATTTTATTTTTGCTTATGGTGGATTTGACCATCTTTGACCTTAGGTTTGTTTTGGTTGTAGTGAATTATGATGTATTTTGGTGATTTTAGTTGGATTAATTTGAAGTCAATGTTAATACTTAAGATTGGTTGGTTTATAGTGTTGAGGTTTATTTTGATAGATTGATTTTTTTAGATCTTAATAGGTTGATTTCAATGGGTTTATTTTTTTTTGTTATACTTAATTTTAATAGATTTATCC